TAATCTCAATATCAAGAACTTTCTATGAAAAATATTTATAAAAGAGTCTATTTATCTAAGACTCTGTATTATATATGTATTTCTTTATTCATATAAATTTAAATTTATCACGATCACTACACAAACACTCGTTACCGTAGCACGAGACTGAAATTTCATCGAATACCATTGATGGCTCATTAACTAACAAAGTACCTCAATTTTGGAGATTTATCATTCGGTTGTTCTGGTTCAAGTTCTCCCGGAATAAATACTGGATTTTATATTACACCTACTATGAGTAGAGCATCTCTTGATGTTGATCTTCTTTTTGCAACCGCAAATGATGATGCTAATCGTGATTCGATAATAGTAACTCTTGAAGAAACAAATACAACAAGTGCTACAGATCTTTATTCTGAAACAAGTTGGACATTGATTGATGACGGTTCAACAGGTATTAGTGCATCGACTTATTCTAATCGTTTAACATATGTTTCTCAACAATATTTCTCCAATACAATTGCTTTTAGAAGTTATCGACTTCTTGTTATTTCAAAACGTAGTAATGAGAATTCAGTTCAATATGCCGAAGCTCATATAATCGGATATATTTAAGACTTTTAAGTTTAAATATTTATATCATTTGTAAAAAGAAAGCGAAAATTTTTCTTTATTTAAATAAGAAATAAGTATGACAGATTTTTTTTGTTTTATGCAAGATATTAAAAAAAAAAAAAATCAATTCTAATTTTCTTGGTTAGATTAAAAGAAAATCAGTCTTGTGTATATAAATCATTTTATTTGCCTGATTTAATTTCCATACATTCATCTGGACGGAATCTCTTCTTAATACAAATATTCGGTTTACAACAAGGATTTATGCCGAATTTACATCGAACACAATTTTTGCCGAATTCACGAGTATCCAATGATCCTGAATCATCATCATCATCAGCACTATCACTATCACCATTTAACATTGAACGAAGAAACATTCGAGCTTTTTGATCTGTTAATTCCATATCATTATCATTGTCATAAAATAAACGTTTAGCATCCAAAGTTGAAACAATGAAAATTAATACACAAATAACAAGAAAAATAAATGTCTTCATAATCGTTTTTCTTTTTTGCAATACGTGAATATCAAATTTAACAGAAGTATATGGTTCGAATAAATCTTACCTTGATCAACTATAATTCAGCAGAAATTATTCGTCTTTTTATACTATCGTTTGTTCTCTCATGGCACTTAGTAAATATTTACCAGAGAAATATTTCGTGACATACTCCATTCATTTGATTAGAAGATTTTTTATTCATCATTGCCATTATTCATACATAAGTAAATATTAATGAGAGAGTAAGTGTAACGTTGAAAAAAAAAAATAGTGCCGCAATAGACTAAGCCAATAAAAATAGTTATCAAAAAGAGCACATACGTCTTAAAAATGAAGGCTAGCAAGAATATAAATTTTTCTTTACACAAGAAAAAAGTGTACTTAGGTCTGACCAAAAGTTTTGAGATCTTTAAATAAAAATATAAAGATAAGGAGATATTTTTAATTTTATTTTATCAAATGTTGAGGATAGTTGTCATGACTATTTATATCAAATTCAATTCTTTCTAATAATTTATTAAAAGTTTTTTTGAACTATTTTTCGAAAAAAATTTTAGATACTTTGGATACCGCATGATTACATAGTATGTCATTTATTTAATTAATTAACTCTCTTCGATTGAGCTACTTAATCAAAGATTATGTAGTATTAGGTACGGGGAATATGACACTTGCGGCACTATATTGATGATCTCTTCTGTCAAATAACTAATAACATCGGATGAGTATGAAGTAAACGATGATCCTCAAGTAGTTTTGTACATTTTGCACTTTGTACCTCTTTTTGTCTTCATAGTACATTTACAAAAAGCTTCAGATAATTTTCAATATAATACTTGTAACCTACTGTCATGCCTTTATCTACACTCAGGGCTATTTGATTTAAAGCATATATCAAACAAAGTTTGTGTTCAAATCTATCTCCATGAATAATAGTCTTTGACGATGCATCCTCAATAAGCCAACTAGAATCAGGTGACTTATAATTAACCTATATAAAATAAATCTACATTTCGTCACTAGTACTACTAGAACGCAAGTGGCAACTTCACTAAAATTTTAAAACAAATGAAACATGATTAGCTCATGCAGTATCCAAAAATTTTTTCAAAAACAGTTCAAAAGAACTTTTAATAAATTATGAGAAAGAATTGAATTTGATATAAATAATCATGGCAACTATCCTCAACGTTTGATAAAATAAAATTAAAAATATCTCCTTATCTTTATATTCTTATTTAAAGATCTCAGAACTTTTGGTCAGACTTAAGGATATTCTAAATCCTGAAAGAATGAGTATGCAGAACGAAAATTGTTCCTCCATTTGTCTGGTGTCTGATTGGTGGGAAAATGAACTAGTCAGCTTTCAGGAGAGATTTTCTTTCTTACCATCAAGACAAGTGCTAGTCATGTTCTGGCCGATCATAAGGTTATCGGAAACGCTCTATCGAATGAGGGGTATATGTGGGTGCTTCGTCTAATATATCACAGAGAAACACATTTTCAAATATTTTTCGACCAAGAAGATTTATCTTCAATTTCTGTTCTACAAATTAGATGTTTGTGTTAGATTCTTGTGAACAAAAATATCTGATCTTCTCTTTTCTTCAGTTCATGAGATTATTATTTCATTGTTGCTTTTCTGAAAGAGAGGTTCATCCATACTAAACTTGTTGTATGTTTGTTTTTTATTAAATTATTCAGAAAATAATATACGCTCAAGAAATGAAAACTAATCATTTGTAAAATAGGACATTGTGACAACTATAAAGTCATAAAAATCTACTTTTTTTTCAGAATGATACTTAATCACAGGTGGTTACCGATGCAAAATCAACATAACAAGTTTTTTTTTTTGTATCTAAGATTATCCTGTGTGTAGAGGGTTTTTAAATAGAAAGCAGACATTTTCTGTTCAAGATTCAAATACTGTATTTTAGGCAAAATTTGAGTCGAGGAACTTCATACAGTGCTTACGTGGATGGCTTACAAAAGAATGGCACCAGGATACAGAGAAGCAACAAGTCGGGAGTGGCACTTCGAAGAGCACTGACGACCGACGAGGAGCTGCTTTAGTACCTTCAAATAAAAGACGTTTTCACAGGAAGTCTCCAGGGGAATGTTTGATGTTTTCATCGAGTGGTCGACTGCGATCAAAAGAATCCAAAAAATATCAACGGATCTCTGGTACCATTAGGTTTTGAAAGTACTATACAATATAGAAATGTTCCTATTCTCTGCTTCCAGGATTGAGTCAAGTGAGGCCTGATGGTCGATGCATTACTTGTAATTTATGAAGGCTCATATTACTATTAATACAATATCTAAATACTAGTTTTCAAGGTGATTGGATTACTTATTTGACATCAACGCATGAAAAAAAGCGAAAGTTGCAAAAACCTGCACTTGAACACCTTTTGATTTTCATCAAAAACTCAAATAAGTCATTGAAGAAGACGATCTTTATGATGCATTTTACTGATAGATGAACGTACTTTTCTCTTATAAAAATCTTTTCCTATTCGTTTATCTATATTATTTATTTTATCCTATCTACATCATTCTATTGTACGTTTCTCATTTGTTTCTTTTTGTCGAAAATATTAAAGATTTCAGGAAAGATATATCTCAGACAGTATAGTAAAAGTCGAAGAATAGTCGACATATAATTACTTTTTCTGTTTGATCTAGACTTAAAATTTTTGTTAGACTGTATTGAAGCCATTTGAGAATATCAAAATCGCTCAAGCGGACTTTTAAAAACATACAATCGGTGAGATGAACGCTCGAAAATTTGAAATATATATTTTTTGTTTGTTTTGTTCTGATTTCAAGCTTCTAGACAGCCATCAGATTCCGTCGACTAGAAGACTATATCCTATCAAGCATTCATTTTCTATTCCTCAACCACTTTTAGAACCTTCAATGTTAATCAAAGATTCAAGTACTCGAGAAAAGAAACATCTAAAGCATAATATTGAATAATTTAGTAGAATCAAGGCAATCAGAATAATAGTTTCAAATGGTATGATTAATTTTGATTTATGTTCGACATATATTTTTGTTAATTTCATAGTCAAGAAGAAAAAATGTACTCAGACAATCATTCGAACTACAGTTTTTAGAAAAATTTTGGAATTAGTTTTAACATTTTTTCTTTTTTTTCTAGTTCGACTAATTTCGACTAAATTAACATTCACTAACGTAAATGTGACACTGTTATTTTCACTAAGACACGCAACCACACTCTGTTGAAGCCTATAGCCAGCAAAGTGAATGATAGTTTTTCAGAATATACGATCGTCTTCAAGTTCACATGAACACTCATATCCTCAAATCATTTGTCACGTGAAGTGATTTTTAGATTGATCGAAGTGCATCGTGACAATTATCATTTGTCGTTGCTATTCTGTGAGTCGATCGTTCTTCTAGAATATACTAATTTTGGTATTCTTCATTAAATGAACAAGAATCTTAATCTGAAGAACGATCTATTCATAATGCTTGGAAAGTCAGCAGAATTATTAGGAGTAATTCGATGTAACTATCTCGAAATCAACAATGTATTATTTTTCTAATATGAGAATAGAATACAATGATACATTCTCTTTTTTTTTTATTAACGAATAAAAACCGTAATTATTTTCACTGTTGTTGAAGTTTTCCTTGTTGTTTCTGTACATAGATGAATGCTTCAGTAAATTTATCGACAAGTTTGATATCATTTTCATCCATTTGTCGTTCACATTTATTTTCTAGACGGGGTTGTATGATATTTTGATTGAGATATTCTTGGAGTAGTTTCATTGCTTTCGTACTTTTTATTCCATATTCTTGCTTGCTTACTTCACTAATAAAATTATTCATTGCTCTTTTCAACAATCTATCGCCTGAATTCGATTGCTGTTCAATGATGCTTTGTAAATCAGCTCGCTGTGTTGAAGCTGTACCAAATGTAATATTAAGAGCATCGAAAATTCGACGATAATCTTCAATCGCTTGATGATTGTTAGTTAAACGATCAATATCATTCTTAAATTGGTTTTCACGTTCAATAACTGGACCAAGCAATTGACGAACATTAGCATTCAATTGGTGTTTAGTCTTTTCAAAAATAGAAAATTTGTCAGACGATTGTAGAATATTGGTTATGAGTTTATGTGTTCGATTGTCAAAGCCTCCAGTTGAATTGAACTGTTTAATAGTTGTTGTGAAAAGATCACGAATTTCAGTTTGTTCAAGTTTAATAACATATTCAAGAGCATTTTGTAGAACTATGCCAAACATATCGGTGAGTGGCAATTTATTGACATGTTTATCCATAGTAGTAAGTGCATGTGGAAGAATGTCTTGGTCATTATTGCTAATTACATGTTGACTACTAGGTATGTGATGATGAAAAAGATCAAACATTTCCTTTTCTTTACCGTTGAACAATGATTTTTCATTGAATAAGCTCATGAATCGATCAATATCTGTTGGCATGGCTTGTCT